ACTTAAATATACACACATACTTGAGTCAGATATATATATATATATGATGCAATTTCAGGGCTGCAGCAGATCATTTGCTGCTAACTTGAGAACATACATGTATTCATCCTTRACTTTGCTGGCAGTAGACATCTCTATACTGCGGATGTGCAGGCAAGAAGGCAGAAACCAGGTTATTGAAAACGGAGGAAAGTGGCTGAAGTTTTAAGGCTCCTATGATTAGGAGCAGTGTGGTGGGACAAGGGAGAATCCTCSGTCACCTGGGGAAGTCTGAGGATCTCCAGTTCCTTTTCTTTATCTGCCTTCAGTTCTTTGGGATACTGCTGCTTTGGGCTGCTTGTGCTGCGGTGTTTAGCAACGTTTTAGTTCCCAAAGCAGGTCCTTTTCCTCTTTGTGGCTGGAAGAGCAGGACCCAAAGAAGGCTGTAAGAGGACAAAATATTGAACCGGGTCCTGGTTCCTTCCAGGAGCCAACATGAATAGTTGCAACTGGAGGACCCAGGTCCTGTTAGCAGCGACAGGCTCTTGCTGGCTCATGTTTGGGGAGCAGCACCCAGCAGGATGCAGATCTAAAAGCTGAGATGAGAATGTTGCTGTCAGAATAACGCTTTCAAACTTAGGGCCTTAAGAGAGACTAGATCTTAGTCACCTAATCTTAGTTTTGAAGTCTGGAAAGAGTATCTGTTGCTATTCAGAGCAGCTTGGAGTTGCATTTGGTTCGTGTATTGCCCTTTCAGTTTCAGGCTTGAGGAATCAAATTTGATCTTCCTAAGCTGCACTGCCCTAGATAAGTCAGGGAAGAGCAATGCTTGCCTTGCCCCAGAAGCAGTGGTGGCTTCCTGGTACCTGGAATTCATTGATATACTGGTGGTAGCATTAGTTTAAAAACCATCCAGTAGACTTGATTACACCTTTGGTGCAAGACTTTAAAATGAGAGTTGGCCAAGCTGGACACTAGGCTTCATATATGGTTTTCAAATGGCCCAAAATGTTTTTGTTTTTTAATTGGCCAAAAATAAATTATTCAAAATTTGGGGGGAATATGGGAGGGCCAGGAATCACCCCTTTTCTCAAGTACTTCTCATTTCAGTGTCCCTGTCTGAGGCTCTTGGTCAGATTTACCAGTCCCTCTGTCCCTTGAGGTTTTTCTGTTCCACCCCCCCCCCCTTCAATCTAACTTTCCAAATTTTATGTTGACAGCTGCARTGGGAGAGAATAAGAAATACAAATGAAAATGAGCATATCAGTACAGTGGAAATTTTCTTTGATATTCTACCTTATATGATTGCTACTGTAGGAGGTAGAGCATATTAGCAACAATTCCTACAAAAAAAAGGTTGTCAGTCATTGCTAAAACAGCTGGTGTTAACATCTGAATTATCATTAGGCTTCAAAGTGGAGATGAATGAGGCAATTCACACCTCTCATGAAGTGATTTCATTTCATCTCCCTGCAGCCCCAGGCAGACAGCCCAGTATTGATTTGCATTCAGAAGTTTTCTTTATAACTGTGCTGGACTAAAATCCCACCACTTTGATTTAAAACYATTTTCAGTTTTGCTATAAACACTGTAATCCAACGAGCTACATGTATGTTTTAGTTGAGTTACTTCCATAGGTAGTTTCCGTGGCACTTTTCTTGAAGGATTCCAAGTCTGAGTTCTGTGTCAGTGCACTGCTTTTTCCACTGGAGAGAAGAAATGCAGTTTATTGTCCTGAGAAGTCACGGGGCAGGAAGATTTATTATACTCTTTTATTATACTTTTCCTTTTGGTTGGAAAAATGGATGGGATTCTATTTTCTTCTGTGAATATGACAAGAGAGAATGAATGATGAGTGATAGTAGACTCTTCAAAAAATTTATGGCAGTTCTTGCACTTTTTCCTCTCACCCATGTGCTACGATCATGTGTTCACCCCATAAAGGAAGGTGATGTGTAATGTGGAAAGCCCATTGGTGTAGCCTTGCTGACCTTTCTCAACCCAGATTGTTTCAAARTGTGCTTTATGCATCCTTCTAGCTTTTGTGCTTGTATAGTGCCCATGGAAAGAAAGAAGGATGAATCCTCAAGGAGGATAAATGTGAAATTGCATGCGCTGTGGAGTTRGCCAAGCCTTCGGTATTCACTCCTACCTTCAGTGCATCTCCCCAATAAACTCTTTGAACGTGGGCCTGTCTGACTTGGTTGAGGCTCGATGTGTTTCCAAGGAATGCCGTTGAGTCTCTGTTTCCAAGTAATGCTGTTGAGTCTGCGGGATGGCACAAGCAGGTCTGTCCTTGAGAGAGCTCCAACTGCTTGCAAGGAAGCTGTGGCCCGAGGACATGTTTTGGTCCCTTAGAGCACGGAGAAGGGTAGGAAGGCACCTTGTTTGAGGAGGATGAAGCCTCCTCCCAAGAGGAGGTCAGGAGATTGACTGTTCTTGGAATGGAGTGGAGTTCAGTGTAGGCTACAGAGAGACGTGTTGTGCTCCTGTCCAGATGTGAAGGGGCTTTGGGAGGGTTACGAGCCATGATGACAAAGCTATGGAGCCTGCACCAAAGGAGGGAGGAGGGCAGAAGGCAATTTGAAAAGAGGGTTAAAAAAGTGAGAGCTGCAATAGCAGGCAAGTGGCAGAGTGAGATGGGAAAAAGTGAAACACTCAGCAACGCGCCTAACAAGGCTTCTTTGTGCAGATGCTGCCCTTAGGACCTGTATATTTTGGAGAGTTCCTGCTCTGGAAAGTGCTCAGGGCCAGTTGCTGATGGCCTCCTGCTGTCATGCAAGCAGCAGCCCTCGCTGACGCTGCCAGCTTGCTGCAATTGTGACATCCAGTGCTTTTGGCTCTCCTTTTCCTCTCCCATTTGAGGTTTCCACTCCCTTAATTTTGCTGGCATAATCCCAGAGCTGCCCAAATGCTCCTCCCATTTTGTGTTTATTTGTAGGCGTATGTACATGTTTTTGGACATATTCTTGAACTAACACAAGGTATTCTGGCTCACCTGGATTAGGAAGTAGCTRCACGTGCCAGTATTGCAGTAGTAGCGATGCTTGATAAACTATAGGTGTTAATCCTTCGGTTTTGGTGATTTTACSTGGAACAGCACTTATGATCGTGGTCTTAATGGTGCTCCAGTGTACTTTAGAATAACACTACAAGTCCAGTGTTCAGGTTAAAGAAAACTTCTGTTAATGTTTTATGATGTGAAGGAAGATGTTAGGCAAAGGGAGGTTTTCATTGCTCGTGTTTTCTGAAGAGCGTGTGTACTTTTGTGCTCTGTCTAGAGAGCAGGAACAGATCTGGGTTGTGGGGGCAGTCTGACTTCAGCAGATCTGCAGCCTTCGGGCCTTGCAAGGCCCTTTAATGTGCTGTTTGCCTAGGTAGCCTCTATAATGGAGCTGGTAATGGGGTTGTTCTTATAAAATGGTGGGATGAGGTGGAAATAAATGTTTTTTTTCCGAATAGTTGGAAAGGAGGGGTTTTGATGAGATCTTGATGACACAGTTATACTGAGACAGAAAGAGCAGACATGTCCCTGTGTTTCGGGGACCTGAAGGGTCCCTGCAGCCTGTCTGGATGTCCCTTTGCTCACAGGGTGGCCCRCTGGTTGCCATTTAACATCCCCCTCGCTTGCACCAGTGCGTCCTGCTGCCCTGCAGCCGCTCTCGTGGGTGGCTCGGTGCCTTTCCTGCAACCCCGGCACATAGCTGCCTAGGCAAATTAAACAGTAACTGTTAAACTGTGCTCAATTACTGACCTTCTCTGAGAGGAGGCAGCAGCTGCCCCGGAGGGCCGAGCTCGGGCGGGCGCCTTGGCTGCTGCTCGGCYGGGCCGAGCTCGGGCTGAGTGGCTCGCGGCCTCCGTCTTCGCCTGCAAAGTCATTGTGTGGTGTGGAAGCGTGGGGCTCTGGATTAGGGCGTTRTTGGGAAATACTGCTGGGAAGACTGTCGGAATAGGGAGGAGTAAAAGCTATTGGAGGAGTAAAAGCCACTGGGAGATGAATTGCGCCGGGCTATCCACCCTCTGGGTGGGAATAGCTGAGGCCTAGTGCCTTGGGTGGGAGCTGCAGGCTCCATGGGTACAAGTGGGCCTGTGTTTAGGGTTGAAAGGAGACAACTTTGCTGCTCAAGAGCTGCCTTTTCTGGCCTCGCAGCAGGCTGCCGATTCCTGTGGGGACTGCTGATTCAGCTAGTGACACGGCCAAGGTCTCCATGCCTTGACTTGTACCAAAGCCTGGAGCAAAGCCCTGGCCTCTGGTGAGCCAGGACAAAACTGCGCTCAAAGCAGAGGCCTGTCCRCAGCCACCACCTTGAGCGGAGCTGGTCGGGGTTCCTGTGCTCTCGGCACCCTCAGCACTGCATAACTGGGGTAGGGAGCTGTCCTTGGCACAAAATGTTTGCAGGCTGTGGAAGAGCTTTAACTGGGRATGGCTGTTGCTTTCCAAATATTGATGTTATAGATTAGGCCGTAGTGTGATTTTTTTTTTTTCCTTGCTCTTTCTTTCATTTTTATTGCATCCTGAAGGCAGCAGCTCAGCCTCACACTGATTCCCTTGGGTACCGGGTGGATATTACTGATTTTCACCTGTGCCGTAGCCCCGGGCTGGGAATGGCCATTGTTCCCCTTCCCTGTTGCTGCTGGTAGCTCATGGTCTCTGAAAATATCTAGTCCTCACTGTTGGCCTCTCTATTTCCATGGCTYAGTGCTGGCTGCCTGGCCTTGTGCTGTCTCTTCAAGTGTTAAGTACTCTCTCCTGAGGTCAGYATGGGCAGGTAATAGTGCCCAGCTCGAACAAGGGTGCAAAATCAGCAAAGAGAGGCAGGACATGTCACATTATCCAAATATAGGTGAGACGGCCATAAAATAAATTGGTGCCCTTGAGACAAAAATGTAGTTTTGCAATGCTGTTCCTTTAAAGTTTTGTTGCAGTGGTTATTGTTGTGGCAGGGAGTAAGAACCATTATTTATTGTTATGGTGAAGGGGAAGGTTTTCTAATTATTGTGTTTCTGTTTGCCTCTAATAGATTCAGATTTACAGATCTGTCAGCACAGAGCGCCAACATGCTGCACCAAAAAAATGGAAGAAAGCTACCAGGCGGCCGTGCGGAGGGAGAGGACGCAGAATATCCAGGCTCTCAACTTTGAGCTGAAATACATGATAGTTGGTCATATCACGGCCTTTCAAGGTAGGAACTCCTCAGCTGCTGCAGACCCACGGTGAATGACTTGGAAAAGTATCCTGCAAAAATAATGGGAAGATTAATCTCTTTGTGCTTTGCTTTTTGCATTCCCAATTCATCACGTGCCCTAGTCGCCARTTTGTTTTACTTCCCTCTCTTCAGGATTCTGCTTTTAGAAAAGAGTGAGGGCACTTAATCTTGGTTGGTATTTTAAGCATCTGCCTAAATCTAATTAGGAATAGATTTAAGCTTAGACCTTCCTGGGATCATTTAAAAAAAGATTGGCATGGATTTTTTTCAAGGTGTTTTAAAATGTTATTTAAGTGCCCAGCAGTTGTTTATGCTTTTTGAATCTCTCCTGTGTAGTTGAAGTAATTACAAGTGTAAAAAGCTGAATTTAAATGCATTGGTTTGTTGATGCTGAAGAAGGAGAACTCTCATACATCTAAACTGAGAAAATGGCTTTCCTTGCATTAAAATGTTTCACTAGCTATTAGGTCACAGGAAGACCACTTAATTTTCAAGAATTATGTCCACACAGTTAAATGTAAACGCAGGGAGGAACGTCCATTCAGTCTCTTTCTGTGACTGACTGTTCTCAAAGCTGCCCTGCTCCAACAGGTTGATGTCAGTCTCATAGTTTCTTCATATAGGTGTTTCCTGAAGACTTTTCTCCAGAAAGGTGTTTGAGCACCGGCTGTGAACTTCAAAAATATGAGAGCTGATTGATTAAATCAACTGCTGACTGAATCGAGCTTGCTGACTAATTATGTGGTTAGTTGGAACTCTGCTTTGCTATATTTAAGACCAAGTGCTTGGCACCTTCAYGGAATGGCCCTTGAAAACTGGCCAGTAGGTATGGAATTATGAAGKGTTGAGATCTAAAGTATTAAACATGTTGGTACAAGGTGTTTGTTTTTTTTTAATTGAAAAGTAGCTCTTTTTGCCTAGTTTCATCCATTTTGGTGAAAAAAATACTTGATMTGAATACGAAAACCAATGGAGAGTAAATGAAAGACAGCATGTTGTCTGAAATTGGACAGTAAGAAATGTTGGAAGTTGGATGTGTGGAAAATGCAAGATGAATATATTTCCACTCATGGCTATTCCCCTCAGTTTCCTCCTTTGTAAACCTCTGGGGAAGAAATGGCATTTTGGGTTATTTTGCAATTAATCTGGGAAAGTATTTCAGTATGCTGCATGGTTTAGGAAGGTGGTTGCAGGGCACCTTGGAGGAGTGCTGTAGTCAAAGGGTGACGGGCTTGGCTTTGTTCAATGCGGGTGAGTTATTCCAGCAATCTTTTGGTATCATGATGAAATAAAGGTAAGGTCAGAATAGATTAACCCACCAGCCCCTCTAGGTCAAGCTGGCAGCTTTATTGTCCCTTGCTGATRAAGGCTTTTGATGGAAAGAAAGAAATCACTAGACATTTCACACAGTTCAAATTTACAAGTGTTTTCCAGAAGTGGGTAAACAGGTTGGTGGTTGTAACTTGTTATGCCTGGTTTTCGGGCTACACTTAGGTGGGAGCACTTGAAGATGCGGCTTTGCTGTCTTGAGATGAGAGCTGCATTTGTCCTTTGGTTTTGTCTCAGGTGTCAGTTAAAAACTTCTCTTTATCCTGTGCTGTATAAACAKTCTGTTGCTAAGAGTAGTACTATGCGACACATTGACTGAGAGGGAGGATCTTTGCATTGAAATCTGCCCTTTGGGTCTGTTTTAGTTTGTTGCTGTTTTGCATGATAAAGTGCGACAGACAAAGGATTTAAAGTCTCAAAAAAAATCCGTATTTTATTGATTCTCAGGTGCCTTTCAGACTTCTTTCTTTTTTTTTCCATCAATGGGAAGGAGCTCAGACTTGCTAAAAAGATGCAATTTATTCATTTGTCTGAGGTGGTCTTTGAAGTCTACATGAACAATTTACTTGCATATATATGTATAGATACACATAATGCATCTTTCTTTTGAGTATTGTTAGAGACAAAGTTGTGGCAGCYCTTGCCTACTGCTGAAGCACTAGTGTCAGGACTTGAATTTCACTTTCAAGACAGCAACATTTTCTTTTAGAGGGATTACATTTTTTGGAGTTCACCTTCTGTCATGAGTTATTGACATTGAAATTATGAACTTGAGACAGCATTATCTTGTTTTTTCTTTCCTGGAAGTCAAATGTCACTTGCTGCTATGGGCTGCTGTTAAAATAGCACAAGTATTAATGGGAAGGAGCTTTCTGATGCCAGCAGGAGTTATTATAAAGGTTTGGTAGGTATTCCCTGTATACTGCMTGGATGTTGTAATCCATCTCGGTTTTAGATGGGAGAGATTTTCTTTTTTAAACTGAAAATATTATTTAAGTAATTCTGCCCACAGCTGAAATAAGACAATTTTCATAGGTACCAGAGTTGTGCAAAAGAATTAGTCTGTAAGAGTCAAATAGCCCACAGCTGTGGGCAGATGTGTTATATTTAGGCTAGTGCCTGTTTTGTATGGACAGCCTGAGCACTGCAGTGCAATCCTGCTGTTTTGCCTCTTCCTGATTTTTCAGTACTGGCAAACTAGCTCTGTCTCAAACACTTCATARATTAAACTTCTGCGTGGCTGTTTTTAGCTTGAGCCCCAGGCAGTGATGCTGTTGCTGCAGTAGCTGATAAGAGCAGGAAAAGGTGCCACAGACCTGTAAAGTTCTGTGGTCTGCCCCAGAAATCATAACCGTGGCCTTAGTCACTCTGCCCATGGGTCGCGTGGCCGTGCGTGGCTCCAGGTGAGCGAGCAGAGGRGACCCGCGCGCACACCGAGGTGCTGGTGAGAGCAGCGCAGTGGAGGGCACTGGCTGCCCGTCCTGGTGGGTGCTCTGGCTCTTCTCAGACGGTTCTGTTCAGGCTGCTCTTTAGAGTGGGTCGTGCTGTCCCATCTGAAGATGTGTCCATCTCTCTTTAGCTCCTGTGGCTGCAGCCTGCAGCACCCGCCAGACCCACTGAAGCAAATGACCCAATGCGATGCTTTCATTTCACAGTTCACCTTCTCCTTTGACAGCCACAGTGTTCTCCTTTGAACTTAGTGTTTTTTCTTTCTTTTTTAGGCTTAAATGTAAGCAACCAATTCCTTTAATTTCTCTAGCTTTCCTTTTTGAACAGATCAATTCCTTGACAATGCCACATGTTACTTGGTGCAGTAATGGGGCCTCGTGTTTCCACACTCCCAGCTATAGGAGGGCAGATCATCTTCATACCACTCTGCTCCCTTGCCCCTAACTTGGTGGGGTTTGGAGAAGCTGTGGGCACGTCTACGCATCTAATAGGGAGATGCTAATTTGTGAAGCTCCTTGTTGCTATTTTCAACAGCAATACAAGTTGCAGTGGTGTAGAAAATACAAGTTGCAGTGGTGTTGCAGTGCAAATGCACATTGTTATGCCCTCTTGGCCTCTGGTCCAAGCAGGTATCTGGGAGGAAGAAAATGGGAACACAGAGTGTAGACGTGAGCAAGACGCGAGCTTGGACTTGGGGTTCTCAATTAAATACCTGAAAGTTCACGTCYGGCTGCTCAAAAAGGTCCTCAGTCCATCAGATTCCCAATCAAGCATTGCTCCTGGTGAATGGGGGCCCAATGGCTTTTGAGGATCATCATGTGATGGACACCATGACTGATACCTCTTCCAGCCCAGAAATAAGCAGCTAAGCACAGAGGTTCTTGGAGCTATAGCGAGTCACATGTATTCCATGTTTTAATGTGCAGAACTGCAGGCATTTGTGTGTGTTGAATTCCAAAATACCAACTTGAAATGGGGGTGCCTGGTTGATCATGTTGATGTGCAGTGAGATTTACCAACCAAAACCGGCTTGGCTGGAGAAAGGCGCTTTGGTTTGGAGTTAATTACTGTATGGAGTGTAGTCACAGTGCTGGAAATGGAGGCAGTCCAAAATCAATGAGCTATTTAAAACAAGAGGAAGAAGACCCACCCAGCTATCATCAACCGAAAGCTTGCTTGTGGTTTCCATTATTTACTACTGGATTATTTGGAAAGCAGAAATGCTGTTTGGCTCAATAGTCTTTTTTTTTTTTTTTCCAATGCCATAATACTTGGTCTTTTGTTCAAACAAATGGTTACCCGCCCCTTTCCACTCATATAACCCCACTAAGGAGGGTTCTGTACTCTGCTGACCTCCAGCTGACAGTTGGCCTGGGTGTATAATTTTGTTTTGGCTCCTTACAGAAGTGGCTCCCTGCAGAGATAGGAGAGAGGCTCCAGTAAAGTTTTAGTGTCCGTTTTTATATGCTGTTCATTCCCCTTCGAATGGACCAAATGGAGTGTTTCTTGCTAGAGCAGAAGCTTGGAAGGAAAGCTCAAATATTTTTGACTGAGTCTTCAGTCTTATTTTTTAGAAATATAATTGTTTCTAGTTGAATTCATTTCCGTCCCAGCTGAATTCATCTTCTTTATGCTAGTCATGGTTTTAGACGCCAGGCATTGCTAAGAGTTCAGCCAAATTCTTCCCGGTAAGTGTCCTTTTCTCAGGAAAAAGAATCAAATTATAATTTGCAGTGTGCAATATTCCCTAATGCTCTCACCTTTTATCTTCAGAACATGCAAAATGTAAAAGAAAATCTTTGAGATGTGCCTGGGACCGTGAGTAAATATTAGGGTTATRCTGTGAATGGTGATTATTGAATTTGCTATGCAGCTTGAGAGCATTTGACCTCTAAATGTCTCAGGTGGTAAGCAGTTCTGCTCTTGACTGAGAGATTACCTGAGGGCTTGGGCAAGGAACGGCTCCTTGGAAGTTTTGTGCATGTACCTTGGTTGAGCTTGGAGAATCAGACTGATGTTTCCATGTCAGTTTGCAAGAGAATGAGAGAGGTTGCCGAGGAGGTCTGTGAAAAATTTTAGTTCAATGCCCAGAGGTGGTGAAGAGTGTGTAGAAAGTTAGAAATGAGGAGGAACAGAGCTGTTTAGCATGTAATGGGTGAATATTGTGTGATTTTGATTTGACTCCCCTCCCCTGTGCC